GAGAGAGAGAGAGAGAGAGAGAGAGAGAGAGAGAGAGAGAGAGAGAGAGGACTACTCTCAGGACTCAGCTCTGACCCTTCCATTATGTGGGTCTCTGCGATCAAACTCAAGTCACCAGGCTTCATAGCGAGTGCCTTTGCCCACGGAGCCTTCTGGTAGGCTCCAGGGACATCATTTGTTCCTCGTTGGCCCAGATAATCCTAGCGCTTGGGGCTTAGTATAGGTATTCCCCAACACTCACCCCTGTACAACTCACAGTGCCACCCTCTACCTGTCTCCATCCTCCCAAGAGAAATTTCTTTAGGCCCAGAAGACATTTTTTTCTTTCAAAAATATCGTTTTTGTTTGTTTATGAAGTGTGTGCACATGTGCCTCTCAGAGGACAGCTATGGGAGTCAGTTCTTTCCTTCTACCATAAAGGTCCTAGGGATTGGAACTCAGGTTCTCAGGGGACCTCTCACTAAGCCACTCACCTTACCAGCCCATCTTGCCATTTCTATGAAACTTCCCCAGCTACTCTTCCTAGAGCACCCCAGCTCCTTTCGGTCAATTTCCACCCACCCACCACCAGTTTCTGCTCAGAAACCTGCTCATTCTTCAGTACCTTGTTCAAGAGACTTCCCTGAGGCCACCCCAGGGTTCAGAGACCCCAAGGATGTCAACACATAGAAGAACTCAGCAAAGCTTAATGTGGCTGGAACAGAGTAAGGCTGGTGAGAGAGCAAAGTCCAGACCCAGAAGGACCAGGGGCGGAGCATGGATGTTGGATAGGTACCTGGCAGCAGTAAAGAGCCTTCCGTCCTTTGTCCTGCAGTCCTGCAGAGTGGTAGCATGTTCCTTGCATCTTTGTGTCTCTCTCCCCTGATCCCAGCATCTGACACAAGGCCAGGGAACACTGGCTGAAGGAAGGAATCAACAGCTCGGTGAAACACCTCTTGTGCAGCTTTCCCTGCTTGGTGTCCACCCCAGAACAGGAGTAGTAGAACAAGGGCCCTGACACTGTGTTTGAATTCTCGATAACACTGATGATTCTACCTCTGTGCTAGGGACACAGTGACGCTCACTCCTTGCTGGCAGGTGTGCAAGTGAGAGAGCTTAAGATCAGGAGGCAGGACATTTCCTGCCCTTCTCAGTACTGGGGGTCCCTCCTTGGGGAACATGACCGGACAGCACTGACACCTCCATTTCTTCCTCAGTAGAACGGAGATCATGTTATTTCCTTGTAGCAACTGACTGTTGAGAAGGATTTGATTTTGACAGAATACAGAATACAGTCGTGCCAAGAGTAGGAAGGAGGCACTTTTAAAGGACCTTTAATCCCAGCTTTAATCCCAGCACTTAGGGAGCAGTCAGGAGCGGGAAGAACTCTGGGAGCACTCTCTTCTAAGGGCCTTGCTTTTTCCAGTTGCTCCACAGCTGGCTGCTTCGACATCCTCCCCCACATCCTCTCCCCCACCTCAGGGCAGGTCAGGGCAGTTGACATCCTGCACACTTGGCTGCCTATGCCCTGCTCTAAGAATCTGCTTCCAAGAAGACCACTCTCACGTTGCACGTAGAAGCTGTGCTTGCAGGCAGGGCAGCGAAGTTCTGGGAAGACATGATGGAAATCACACAGACTGCTGCTGCGAACCAGGATGGGCAACCACTCGTGGCAGGAGTATCCTGGCCCCTCACTGAGCTCTATAGTCTGTGACTGTGGGGTTCCTGAGTTGACGGCTGCCAGGGCATGAAATGTGCAGACAGCCCGTTGAGAAACTGGGTTGTATGCCTCTTAGTATGTGTGTGAGCGTACACACACATGTGTGTGTGTATACATGTGCATGCACACATGCCTGTGCACGCTAAAAGTCTTATTTATTATTATTGTTGTTGTTACTTTGCTGGACTCAGACTTAGAAGCAACTTTTATCAAGAACAGCCTATGTCTCTTGGCATCTGTTTTTGGCATTTTTCTTTGGCTCTTTCATTGTCATGGCAAAAAGCTTAACGTATTCTACAGCCTCCTCTTTAATTTTCTTAGTGTATTGTTACTTTGGAGTAATACTCCAGGGTTTGTACTGTAGAACACGTGGAGTAACAAGACACGGAAGTGTGGACTCTTTGGTCCCAGGCTTCTTACCTTCCTTGTTTAGGGGTTTTCTCACAAGATATTGGAAGATGTTGTCTCCTTTAGAGAGACCAAAAAGCTTTCAGGTTCTGCTCGCTCTTTGGATTCCAAACCTCCAAGGGAGAGTAGTCAGATTTGTCAACCCAGAAATATCTCTCCCTTGCCCCACCATAACCAAGTTGAGAACACTCAGATTGGCACTTGCAAACAAATACACTTTCTCTCTCCAGTCCCTTTGGACTCTAACAAGAAGACCCTTTCTCAACAGCAGGCACACTCTGCGGTGGGTCAAGATGCCATGCTCCCTGGAAAAGCCTTGTTTGTGGCTCCCACCACTGATTCGGACTCATAACCCTCCTCACCCAGCGCGTCAGCAGCCAGTTCCTTCGCCATGAGCTTCCAGTGAAAAGTACAGAGTTTGCCCATCACCCTCTTCAGTGAACTTCTGACCACTGGTGGGCCAGCTCCATCTTGTCACAACTGACCACCTAAGAGGTGCCATGAAAACGGAGCAAAAGGAAGACTCTAAAGATTCTTCACTGAATGCAGTGAGATGGCTCTTCGTGGAGAAGACGCTTGCCACCCAGCCTGACGGCCAGAGTTCAGCCCTGGAACCCACAAGGTAAAAGGAGAGCATCTACTCTTGCAAGCTGCCTTTACATGCGCACTGTGGCCCATGTGAGGTGCCCCCCCCCCCCGACGCACGCACACAAAATATAAATTTTTAAAATTCTGAGTTCAAAGTAAATTCCTCTTGCAAGCTATCTCTCTGCCTTCAGTTGAAGAGAGAACAGGACACTTGTCCTGCATGTGAGAGCCCTGGGTTCCATCTGCAGTGCTGCCGGGTAGGGTGGGCGACAGTCAAAATTAAACGCAGATGGGGAGAAAGCTCAGGGTAGATGAGTGCTTGCTGTGTAAGCCTGGAGACCTGAGAATGAATCCCCAGAACCCACATGAAAAACCAAGCATGGCCCAGTACTGATGTAGGTTCAGACAGGGCACCTAGACTAGTTCGGACTAGAGCTCTCTGGCTGCCAATGTAACTCCAAACCCAGAAAGAGACCTCGTCTCCAGAGTATAAGAACAATGGACAATGATAGAACAGGACACCTGGATGCCCTTCTCTGGCCTCTGCCTTGAACATACATGCACAGATAACACACACGCGGTGAGAAGGCGTGGATGTGGTGGTGTGTACATACACATTATTCTAGAAAGTTTAAGGCATGACTTAGCTATGTAACTGTTCCACAAGACATCATCTCAAAACAAAAGCTAAAGAGTAAGAGCTGGAGAGAGCTCAGGGGTTAAGATCACTCTCTGCTCTTCCAGGTGTCTCGGGTTCAATTCCCAGCACCCATGGAGAGCCTCACAGCTGTCTGTAACTCCACTTCAAGATAGCCTTTGCCGGTCTTCACAGGCACGGCAAGCAGGCAGTGTACATACATATGAGCAGACAAACACTCCTACACTAAATAAATCCTAAAAAAGAAAGGAAAAAAGGAAGGAAGAAGGAAGGAAGGAAGGAAGGAAAAAAGGAAGGAAGGAAGGAAGAAAGAAAACTAACAGACAAAGCTAGCAAAAGACTGTCTAACAAGGGAGTCACAGCTTTAGAGACCTTTCTCTCCGACTTTACACGTGTGAAGCTCTGGTCTTCTGAATCCCAAACACCAAAAGCAGCTTTTCCTCCTCTCCTCGAGCCCCCTAGAGGGCTCCACTCTGTGCAGGATAGCACCACCACTCTAAGCAGCAGTCTGCTAGGGAGTCTAGACCTTTCTTTAAATTCTTTCTTAGCACCTTCATCCCAGACAGCATTGTTCAGACAAGTCCAATGTCACTGTCCTTCACTGCCCCCACCCCCACCCAGGAAGGTGCAGAGGGAGCAGAGCCATAGAGGGCTTGAGGCCGGTGCAGAGGATCAACAGGAATTTCTCAGGACTGGGCAAGATCCTAGTCACAGAAGCAAGAAGAGCCTTGGAGATCTGTGGGGTGCCCCTGAGAAAGAGGGCCAAGCACAGTCTCCAGGCTCTACAGTGTGAGAGTCACATGCTGCCACCAGATGAAAGACAGGGCAACAGTAACCTACATAGTGGATTCAGTGCCGTCCAAGGAAGAATAGGCCCAATCAGCGTCCATCCCTTGGGCCCATTCCAGGAAATACTTGTGAAAAGTTAGTTGAGAAATTATAACACAGGCAAACCCTAATTTTGCTATTATGGCCAATCCCCGATTTCTTTGCAGTTTCTGATTGGAAAATGTTTTCCTGATTTGGTCTTTGAGACTAGCCTGTGACCTCTTAATTTAATTCTGGGTTTTACTTATTCAGTTTGACTGTCATGGAAACTTTTCCCGATGGTTACAGCAAAGTCTGGGGAAGGTAGATCAGTCGCAATTAGGTTTTAGCCAATTAAGTCACTGAACCTTTACTGGTTCGTAGGCTCATAGGCACAGCTATGCTTACACTGGAGAATATCAGCCTGCTTCAGCCCCTTCCTGGGTGTGTCTGTGGTGTAGAAAGGTCAGTTCTCCAGGATGCCTCCAACAAGGCTGGCAGTAACATCCAGAAGCCCAACATGCCAACGCTCTCCTGCCATCTCCTTCCTCTGCCAGATCCTCAGATACACCCCTGAGGCTGGTACCCAGTCAGTAAAACCTCTGCCCAGTGTCAATGGGAGTAGAGACCTAAAACCTTGTGTTTTTATTTGATTTTTTAAAATTTTCTTTTCTTTCCTTTTTTCTTTCTTTCTTTTTTTTTTTGAGACAGGTTCTCTCTCATAGCAAGTCCTGAAACTTGCTATGTAGACCAGGCTAGCTTCAAACCCACAGAGATCTGCCTGTCCCTGCTTCCCAAGTGCTGGAACTAAAAGCATGAGCCACCAAGCCTAGCTAAACCTCATATTTCAATTTTTTTTTTTAGACTTGGTTTCCAGTATTCTAGGCCAGCACTGAACTTGCTGAGAACAGGCGTGAATGTCTGACCTTTCTGCATCTGCTTCCCAAGTGCTGGGAAGACACAGCCACCTGTGGTATGTGATGCTGGGAATGGAACCCAGGCCTTTGTACCTGCTGGGCAAGCACCCTGTCGACTGAACAACCTCCCCAGTCCCCACACTAATCTTCTCCTCATGTATCTGTGTTTTGAAACAGGGTCTTGCTACATAGCCCAGATTCTTGACTCTCCTGCCTCTACTACCCAACAAGAGCTGAGGTTCCAGGCTTGTACTGCCATGTTCATTGTAAGCCACTTAAAAAAAAATCCATCTGTCACCTGCCTTGAACTGGTAGAGAAAATGTTTCTCAGTTTCTTCGATTCTTCCTCCCAAAGAATGAGAAAACTCTGTGGAAAACACCATATATTTGGGGACAGAGGCCAAATTAGACAGATCACTCAGATTTAGAACACACTGCACATTTTAGGTCACGTGCTAAGTTATGGCAAATAAGACTCAGGGCTACCAGATACAGCTGTATGGGTTTCTCACTACAGCGTTTACACTAGCCACAGAGAGAATCACAGCACCTGCTTTGCACGAGTGAGAGGTAAGGACAGGTATTTCTCCTGGGTTAGTGATCTTTATCTTACCAGTATAAGAAAACAGAAACTGGGTGAAGGAGATGGATCAGTGGGTAAATGCAACGGCCTCCAGGTCTCACAGCCAGATTTCTGTCCCTGGAACCTCTTGGTAGGAGGAAACCAGCTCCCCAAGGTTGTCCTCTGGCCACGGTGTGTGCGTGTCCTGATGGATGGATGGATGGATGGATGGATGGATGGATGGATAGATAGATAGATAGATGAATAGACAGATGGACAGAAGTAGTAAAAATAACAAAAGAAAGAAAACTGAAAATGACATCTCTCTTCTGGGCAAAAATAACAACATTAGAGGGCTAGCCCCGGGCACCTTGAATCTTAGCTCAATGCAGCCTAGGACTTACAGAGACAATCCTGATATTCTATGCCTTATACTTGGTGGTCACCAACACTGAAAACCTCCCAACAAACCTAGCAGGGAAAGTGCCAGAGACTGAAATAAAAGTGGCACCTCGGTGTGCTCAGCAGTTCTCACGTGTAATTTCCATCTGTTCGACCTAAAGAAGACTAATCGCCCATCTTCCCTTATGGTGGAGGGTGGGACTCTGTGAGCTGTAGGGACCTCCTCAGGTCCTTGGTGGGCTAGCTGGGTGAGGGGCATCTGACCCTAAATTCCAACACTGTTCAGGTTTCCCAGTGATCTATTTACTGATCAAGAATGATTTGGCTTGAATTTTTGCGGTGGAAGAAGCTGAAGCCGGGCGATGGTGGCGCACACCTTTAATCCCAGCACTCAGGAGGCAGAGGCAGTGGATCTCCATGAGTTCGAGGCCAGCCTGGTCTATAGAGTGAGTTCCAGGAAGCCAGGGCTACACAGAGAAACCCTGTCTTGAAAAGCCAAAAAAAAAAAGGAAGAAAGAAATTGAACCCAGAGCCTCCTATATACTAGGAGCCTCCTATATACTAGGCAGGCACTCAGCCACTGAGCCTCCCCATACATACCCGGCCAAAGAACTACTGATTATCATCATCATCATCATCATCATCATCATCATCATCATCATTATTATTATTATTATTATTATTATTATTATTATTATTATTATTATATGTGTGTGAGCAGAGAAACTCTATCTCCAAAAACAAACCAAACAAGCAAGCAAACAGGGCTGGAGAGATGGCTCAGAGGTTAAGAGCACTGACTGCTCTTCCAAAGGTCCTGAGTTCGATTCCCAGCCACCATATGGTGGCTCACAACCATCTGTAATGAGATCTGGTCCCCTCTTCTGGCCTGCAAGTATACATGTAAGCAGAACACTGTATATGTAATAAATAAATAAATTTAAAAAAAAAAGCAAGCAAACAACCAAAGAACAAACCAAAACAAAAACAAAACCCTGCAGCTATCATTCCCATCCAGGAATGCCAACCTCCTGACAAAGCACAGGTTTGAGTGAGTGTTTTGTTCTTACAATTCAATGTGCTTTGAAAAAGACAGTCGCAGAAGAGGAAACTTAAAGAATTCTTTCAATAAGAAGTCCCCAAGGCAGTGGGGGAATGGGGTGGCTCATGCTTGTCATCTCAACACTTGGAAGGTAGAAGCAGGTGGATTTCTGTGAGTGCAAGACTAGCCTGGTCTACAGAGTGAGTTCCAGGACAGCTATGGACAGAGAAATCCCATCTCAAAGAAAAGAAAAAAAAAGAAAACAGAAAAAAGAAAGGAAGGAAGAAAAGAAGAAGACAAAGAAGAACAACATCCTTGCTGTGTGTTGGGGGGTGTGATGCAAATCCAGTTATCCTGGAATGTGCCCTGGTCTCCATTCCTTGTACACCTATTTCCAGCCTTCCTCCACAGTCCCACCCTCCATGTTGACCTCTGCTCCAAGCTCCTTGGCAGAGCACCCAACACAACAAAATCACTATGGCAACTGGCAGACAGGCATCACAGTTGTCCAGCCAAGTCACCTCAGCCTAAGGTGATGTTTGCCCAGAGAGGATCCAGAAAAGAAACAAAAACAAAAACAAAAACAAAAACACCACCTCATTCACACACAGACAACTTGAGTTGGTGGATTTTGTGTGAAAAAAGT